ATTTTTTGCTAAGAGTCTTATCAAACGTTTTGGATAATTTTTCGGAACAAAATGAGTAAAAAAATTTTCTAGAAAATATTATTAATTTCAAAAATCTTTCCTAAAACTTTTTGACAATACCCTTGTAAAAAATAGAAAATCTTCGGGGTTAACGAGTGCGCAGAATACAAAAAAGGACTTTTTCGCGACTCTGCATGAACTTTACTTTTCTATCGCTGATATGATCCGCACTCCAAAAGAAAAACACCCAACAATCACGAAACTAACAAGATACATACAGTTTTATCTATTACAAATTTGTTATTCGATTGATCAAATCAGAGGATGGTTCATGCTTCTGCGAAATTTCAAAAATGATCTGAAATTAATCCGGCATCTATAACTCTGTAACTAACGAGAGTTTGGATGGATCATTCATACGGTATATAGCTGAAATAGAGAGCATTCTGCTGATGGATGAAAACAGTGGCAGATTCCGAATTTTCGTAAGCACATGCAGTAGATAAGGAGCGTATGAGGTACGTGCACTCGCCGTAGAAACACGATTTTTTGGAGGCAGCTCTGCTAGCCAAAAATTATTTTTTTGCACGAGAGAGACGAACGACCGTTCGTACCGGGATGGCTGCATCTGGCAGTAGCTGAAAAATATTTTCTCCCCATATGTGTGAGGAAATACATTCAGCTAGATGCCAAAATTATACTTTTCAACGTAGCAGTGGAGCCAATCAGTAGGCGGTAAAGTCGTGTTCAATTAGCATTTAGTCTGCGCTATATACATCCCTAGCGAATCCAATGTACTGAATCCAAGGCACCTGAATAATGAATAAGTCTTTGCAGGGTATCCGTTCAGAGTACTGATCAACAATTTTTAATATAAATATCGACTAAACATGCTGACTAGATACCTAATTACTGAAAAAGTTTCACTAACGTTTCAATCACCGTTTGTTTGTCCCTGTCCATGTACTACATAAAAACCTCTCATTCTTGAAAAATAGCAAAGCTTTTCGTCAAGATGCAGACGGCTCTGTTGACATACAGAAGATTGAACCATCTGCTACACAAAAGTGCCATACTGGTCAGTATATTCAAAAATAATTAATTGAGAATCGCTTCAAATATATGAACATATGTTATATGGATATACCCTAAGTAAAAATACTTTCAGGAATCCATGAACACCCAGTTACTCAGAATATCTCAGCAAAGTATCCATCAGATACCTAAAAGTACCCAAATACCTAAGAAATACTGGTGACAAGGTACTTTTTCGAGTACTCGGCGCACAGTAGTTCCACTAGGGATACTATAGAAAACTATGGAATTGATTCTTACTGTCTTTTCATGGAGTATTATACTCATTTCAAAATGAATTCTAACGGTAAAGTAGATAATTAGTAAAACAAGTGCGCCATGATTGGCTATTAACGATCGTTAAAGAAACTCGTCGCAACATAGGCCCTGTCTACACTACAGAAGTTAAAGGAGCTTTAAGTAATTCTATTCCCTAGTGAATGTACTCAAGTATGAGTACTCAAAAAGTACTCTGCTAGAAAAACCGGACGAGTACTCATACCTACTCATACATTTTTTTATTCACTGAGTATTCACCTGAGTACTCAGTGAGTGAGTAACAAGTACTCTGAGTACGACTTTGAGTACTCATGCTTGGGTATTGTTGAGTAATCATACCAACTTTCGGCAAAATACTCATAAGTATTGTTCATCGATATTTTCATATAGAGGAGTGATCTCAGGTAGCCAGAGTAGGACCACAAGTCTATCTCTGACTATATAAAGAGAGACCAGTGAGAAAATAACAATATAAATGTTCTGTGTTTCTTCACTAAATTCTACATTCTTTATACAGTTTCAGTTTAGCAAAATAAAATGGTGAATGAATATTTCCTGAGTACTCACATGAATAACTGAGTATTCACTGAGTAACAATACTCAGAAATTGTTAGTAGTACCAATATGAGTACTCATGCACGAATTATGAGTAAAGTCGTACTCATCGTATGAGTACTTTCACTAGGGTTGACTAAAAGTTAGTTTAAGCCAATAGAATTGCTTAATACTCCTTTAAGCTTTGTAGTGTAGACAGGGCCATATGTAATGTGATTTTACCACATCTATTTTCCGTTTTGTGGAAGAATTGCTTTGCAAAAGCTGAAAGCTTGAATTTGTTGTTATGACTGGTGTTTGTTATGATTCTGCGAATAAAAAATCTTCTGTATGTATTAAAGCCGGTCTACTGAACAAAGTCAACCTAATCATTTTATTTAATCGCTGGTACCAACATCTTTCGCTACATGGTACAAATTTACTTAAGCTTCTACAATTCGACTGTTTCTAGGACGTTTTCTTAGTTTATTTACATACCTGTGACTGATTTTTAATTTTACCAATTGTTGGTGTCTGACCGATAGAATTTTGGGATATTTCTCCCTTCTCTGGTGCGCCATCTGTAGAGTATATATCATCGGTCTAAAAATTCTCGAATAAAAATCCTTTCCTTTTAATTAATCAAAAAAATAACAAATAATAATCGTCCTGGGAAAAGAAAGAACAAATAAAGTCTCGCGCTACATTCACAACATATACAATAGTGTTGTTAATTATAAGGTTGAAAGCCAATGGCTTTCATAATGGCTTTCAATCTTACCTTTTACGCATATGTACTTAAAGACTTTGTCGTGTAAGCTCTAACAGTTCTTTAGAATAATTAACAATAATTTATCATAATTAAAGAACGCCATGTAATCGGAACTAACCGGTAATTATAGTTAAGCAAGGCTATATTTGTTGCTAAAGAAAGGTCAAAACGAGTGACTACTTCAATAGAGGTGCAGATTGAAGAGTGGTTGCGTAGCTTCAGAATCATTTTAGAACTAGAATAACGACGTTTCTCTCCCTCCCTCTACAGATTTCATGATATTTGCTAGAGGAAAAATAAGCGAAGTACATGTTTAAACCATAATGTTACTGTGGAAAATAATAAATCTCTTGCAAAAAAAAGGACTGGAACTATTGTTAGAAAAAACTGTTTCTGAAATAGTTTGATTTTCGATCTATGGAAGATATTATCTAGTTAGATCGAGAATAACGAGTCAGAGCGTTAGAAAGGACAATTGGCTGACCTTTGAATCTCTATATGAAAGTCATCTTCTATTAAAGTTAAACATTTACTCGGAAGAAAATTTCCAGGGTTATACTTAGCGCAATTATTCCCTAGTGTATTCTTTATCATGATTGAGCGTTTACACAATATTTAATCATGTTCTGAATATAATTAAAAAGAATCGTGGTTTTCGTTAACTCTAATTAATGTTGCGTTGCCTTGCCTGCTGTGTAAAATATAGTACTTTTCATTTCGCAGGCTATCAACTAAAATGAGCATTCTTTATTTTACTTGCCTGCAGCGACGTAGGCAGCTATGGCCTACCCCTCTCAGTTTTTCTTTCCTGGGGTCGTATCACGAAAAAACTTAAGTTAAAGTCTAGACTTAAATGTATAAAATTAGCACGTAAATGCATATAACGAAGACTTAAGTCCAAATTTTGATTTAAGTTTTTTTATGATACGACCCCAGTGACGTAGGCAGGGAGGATTGTGGGGATCGATCACCCCCCACTCCAAAATTACTGGCTACGTCACTGTACGACCCCCTGTTCATTACCATGAAACGAAGGATATTTTGATTAAGACACAAAGTAATGAAAACTAAAAAACTTGCTTTGTTCGTTCGTCTTGTTTTCTAAAGTGAGCTGACAGTAATTATGATAGATTGATATGGTCTTATCTTTGTACATATAGAACAAAAAAATATTCTTCTATTTTATTTTACTTTACTACCATTTTCAACACCACTATTTCCCATTTCAGTTGCAACTGCGAAAACAGTCGTTCTCGATGATGAAATTAATCAGAAATTATCTTCGAAACAGAACCGGAGATGATCGTTTAGGTAACCTCACCATATTGCATGCAGATCGAGATATTGTCAATACTCTCGATTTGGATGAAGCACCTAATGAATTCGCGAAGCAAAACCGGCGAATTACATTTGATAATACTTTGAAGGAGAAAAAACACATTATCTCGGTTCTGTTTTCTATTCAAGAACTTTTTATAGTCTAGCATTGAGCATGTTTACTTGTCTAATAACAAGCTCGTTAAGGAAAAAATAAAACAGTATATTAGTATGTGATGGAAAAAAGTGCACCTATATTCTCTGAATTAAAAACAAAGGGAAAAAATGAGAAAATCGAAAAAAAATATACATGGCCTATCCCTTCTAAAAATCCTGCCTACGTCGCTGCTTGCCTGAATCTTTTGTAATAACATTTAAGCTGAAAATTCAAATTTATTTTTTTAGCTGACTTAAACTAAACCTAGTAATGTGGTTGAAAAAGTCATTTGAAGATCTTCTATACTGTTGAAACCAACCTTTTTTAAGCATATCCATGACATGTTGTATGAAGGAATAAATTTATCCATGAAAAGTGAGAGATCTCTGAAAACCCATGACGATCTTCTCTGCCAGATAACGAAAACCGTACAATAGGATTACATATGAGCTTAAAAAAGAAATAAACAGGCAAGAGAGAAGTAAACAAATTAAGAGTACTGAAAAATGGCTAACATTAGAAAAAGAAGAATACTGGAAAATGCAGTTTTGATACACAATAAAGACGAGCAACAAATGATTACACACTAAGATGCTTAAAAGGGTCGTATTTGTTTCACTTTTAATATTCAGTCTTTTTATCTTGAGAGAGTTCTCTTCTTATATCATGCTAATAGTACTAGTAATTTGTCATTCCAAGTGTACTTTAGTTTTCAGCAAATAAGAACTAGTGCAATGGTAGTAGTTGTTCGGTCATTTGCAGGTTGATGTGATTTTTATTTTAAAATTGTTAATTTTCGTTTAGAAAAGTACGTATTATTTGAATATTTTAGATACTTTTATTCATCTATTTCATTCACACAGACTAATGACATTAAGATTACCAGGCTTTATTAAATATTTATCAGTTTTTGTGATGGTTCTGGCTGTATTGTATAAATATGAGATCGATCAACAAAGTCATCAAAATACGCTATTGATAAGGAAAACAGCTAACATCCAGAGTAATCGAAATCACATTTATAATGTGATAACGAACGTAGAAAAATACGCAACATGGTATCCGAATGTTATTCGTGTTGAAAATATTCAAATAATGCAACATAAAGTGCATAATCATGAAGGTGAAAAATATCTACTAATAACAAAACTCCCGATTATAGGTAAGTTCAATTTTGTTGTTACAACAACAAAAAATTATCATTGTCCTATATTTTACTCTGTTTAGGAGAAATATCATCGACTTTAATTGTTGAAACAGACAATCGGCCAAAACATTTTGTATTTACAGTTGATTCATGGTTATCAGAAATAAATTCCATCGAAGTTATGGAAAACGTTAAAGATTCGAATTCAACTACACTTGAATGGAATGTTTATTCGAAACGTCGAAGTATTTTATTTCAGGTATGTTCTCATTAAAATTATTTTTCTTGAATAGAATTAAACAAAATAAACACGGTAAGATCTGAGAATTAATGCATCCTTTTCTTAATCTAATTTTTTACTATAAAGCGACCATTTATTTTGCATTGTCATTTAGTATATCTTATTACCATTCGCAAAATTTTATTCAAATCAATTTACACGTGAAGCTCTGTTTTCGTTAATTATGCGAATGCGTAATTCATAAATGAAAACATTATAGTACTTTTTATCATAAAACATTTTACTTATCTTCTTACATTCCTTCTTGTCTCTAGTCGACGCGCTTATGTAACGCAATTTCTGTTAATATTTTTTTTTTGTGTTTATATGTGCTACGTTACTGAATGATGTGTGAAAATTATTTTTTATTTTACACTTTCTAGTCTAACCACACTGCTTCTAGTCATTTTATTGTTTATATCATATTTTTTGTTTTTTTACAACTGTGAGTATGTGTAATTTATTATGCTTTTAAATAAAATATAATTGTCTATATCTTGAACCTTTTTAATTATTGAAGGTCAATAATTTATATTACTTTTGTTTTCTGAGAAAAATGACGCATGGTTTATTTCTAGTATACTGGTTTTTTAAGAATTACACATACTACGAAACAATGAACTTGTTAAATCGTGTTTTTGGTACTACAACGCCAATTCCAAGAAAATCGACATTATCAGCATCAAATCCTTCCGCATGTACATTGTAAGTTGACGATTTATTAATTCTCTCATTTGCATTATTTATGTGTCTCTTAGAAAATGGATACCGCCAGAATTTAATCCGGAGAATATTCGTTTGATTATTTACGTTGATAGTGATGAAGGTGGTCTACATTTATTATTTGATTCAAAAACCCTACGAATTATTGTACCAAATCAACAACAGCAACAACAAGAAGATGCCTCCAAGGTTAATCGAACAGTTCCACGAAGTGCAACAGCACCATCATTAAATGTAAGGTTTTTATTTTCAGTCGGTTCTACTCGTGTACAAATTTACTTTTTGTAGAATTCAAGACAATCCGGTTTACCACCATCGACAGGACGAACTTCTAGGTCAAATAATATGCGTTTCACATACAAAAACAAACTTTATGAGGTGGTATTCACACATAAAAATATACCATCAATGATTAAGTTTTGCTTGTTGTTGTTTAGCTCACGAAACCACCGAATGACGGTCGTATATATGCCGATTATATATTTGGATCAATGCCTCTATTGTTTAAAGAAGCTGGTATGAAAATTCACACAAGCAAGTAAGAGACAAAATCTTTCTTTAGATGTTGCACGTTAGAATATTCTCCTCTTTTAGATCTCCTTCACAAATAATGATGAGTCGTGTATTTGCCGTAAAACAATCCCTCAGGTGAGATACTCTACAGTTCAAGTCTTTTTTGTACGATATAATTATTACGAGCAATACAAAGCGTGGAAGTTACAAGCAGAGCATACTTCTCTCTCGTATTTGGTTAGTTGTGAAAGAATTTTGTAAGGCACACACCTCTCTCGTCTGTATAGCTTTTTTTCAATAAAAAGTCGATATTGAGCTAAGCAAATGGTTGAATAGGTTAAGATGTCTTCTCTTGGAATTCATACTTTTTCTATCAATATCAAAGGTTTCTGAGGGTTTGTAAAGACGTTTTCTAGAAGGCCGATAAAACTGATTTTTCTGAAATCCTAGTATTTCAGAGAAAATACAAAATTTGTTCCGAGATCTCGTTAGCTGTAAAGTGTCTAAAGTATAGTGACGGAAAGCTGAATAACTAGTTTTTTTGCTTCTCTTAGTCATTTTGTAAAGTACCAAAAAAATTTTAGATAGTCTCCAGTCCTCGAATCCAAAAAGGTCGCAATGACGCTACTTTGTTAGAACAAACATTTCTTATTGAAATTTGACGTCTCCCGACGCTGAGGGATACGTTGATCAAAAAGTTAAGACAGCTTTACTAAGAGCCCTGATATCCTTACATTACTATGTCTCAAGATTGATTTTATTCTTTGTTGCTCTAAGAGTTTTCCAAAAATCTAACTCAGTA